CAACTGTAATCGGCAGGAGGCGAGTTGACTCGGTGGTTGGTGGTAGCAAAACGCCGAGTTTCTAGATTGCGGTGGTGGCGCCTGCATCTTACAAATTTCCCATCAAATTAAAGTAAATTAATTCATAAATTAAATTTTAAAAAAATTTGGAAAAAACAAAAATTAAAATTTAAAAAATACCTACCATGAGATATATCTCATACATAAATTTCAACAACAAAGCTTATAATTAAACTATTATGGAAGAAGTTCAAAAGAATTTAACAAACCCATAAATTAAAATTTTAAAAATAAATAACAATGAATACAAACCAGTAGAATAGTGAGGAACTTGAAAAGCAAGCATGCAACAACAAGATCTCCAGGTTCAGCAAACCAGAGCCGCCATTCAAGCGACCACCGCAAGAAACGCCTTCACATTCGGCGGCTTCTTTCTTAACCACGCCATAATAGTATGGATCTTCTATCTCTGAGGCCTCATCTTCTCTTAATTTCTTCAAAATTTGGGATTTATCCCTGAAAAATTAAGGTTTTTTTGAAGTATAGAACATTATAATTGAAAGAAAAAAACTTTGAGTTGAGAGGATGACAAAGCTTTTGCTGGCAACGCATGCATTAGCTCTTACAAGATAGAGAAAGCTGAGAGAGGAGAGAGCCAAAGAGGAAAGCAGGAAGCTGAGAAAGGAGGGAGGGACGCAGCCCGCAGGAGGCTCATAGAAGGGTCACAATCAACTCACTGGCAAAAAACATTAAACAAAGCCACATTGCTTTCTCACACATGCACCCCACACATGTGAGCACTATTCATAAGGGAACAAGTGAAACATTTTAAGGGTTGTACATAATATAAATAAAAAAAAAAAAAAAGTTGATTTAGGTGCCTGGTATGGTAATTTTAATAAGTGGTTAGTACGTGTCTTTGTAGCCTATGGAGGAGGGGGTGTTTATAAATTATAATAGTATGAGAAATCAATTAGCCAACTCAACAGTAGAATAATTTTATATACAAATAACATACCTCGTATAGTCCAAATAACTATAATTAACTTTTGTTCCAAAAAAAAAGGGACTAAATGATGCAACTTGCAGGTCATCAGGTGGGGGTTTGGGACTTGAGAAGTTGAGATGAATTTCCTCAAAACAAGTTACTGTACCACTACCCTTTAGCCCCAAACCAACAATTCTCTTTTCTATATAGTATAGATGTATATTTTTTGTTGCAATAATAATCAAATTGGTTAAGATGCTAAGGGCTCTGTAACCAAAAACTTTCTCCGTCCTTCATCCTCTTCCCCTTTCCATCTTTTTCTCCCATCTCCGTCCTTCATCTTTGTTCTTCTTCCCTTCTTTTTCTTCCATTATCACATTATGACTTAATTTCTTTTCTCGGTATGGAAACATTGGCAAGTATTCCAGCCGAATGGCATGAAACTACAGGACTCGAATCAGAATTTGAAGTCATTTACGAGTTTCATTGGGGTCAATATGCATTAGAGCATAAAGTGACCAGCAAGAGGTATCCCGTACTATGTTCAGTGAGCCATTCCCACGTGCCACGAGAAGGCGACACTACTTTTAACGGCTATTGTAGACAATATGCCTTTAGGGATACGTTTACCACTAGAAGACGGATTTTTGAAGCCACTTCAGTGGCTGAAAATCTTAATCATGAAGCTCTTTCCTTCTATCACAACAATGCATTTGGTGATGATATAGCTACCGACCAATTATTGGACGAAAATTGGGGTAATATAGAAGAGTTCTTTCGTCCAGCACAAAATGAAGGTGTTGCTTCTAGCCTCTACTACAAGCATGTTGCGACTTCGATTCCTGATCAAACCGCTAAAGATCTTACAGTAAGTTTTAATTAATTTATATATTTATTTATTTTGTTGTAAATTTTAGGTTTTTTTTTTATTTTTTTTTATTTTTTTCAATTATATGGAACGTTTTCCTTGAAAATTGTTTAAACAAAAATTTATTCCTACTTTGCATTGGTTTATTATTTTCAATTATATGGAACGTTGCAAACTAAACCCCAGGTGCATTCTCCAAGTCTGTCCCGGTAAGTGTCGTCATATGGTTGTTACCGTCAACCATGGTTAAGAGAAGGAACATCCATTGAAATGTGGTAATGGACCGACGTGCATCCAAATAGAAGGTTCATAACAGTTGACCAAATCTGTTGGGTGAAGAACACCATTCGTACAACCTCGACAATTTCCCACTGCAACAGAAATGCACCCAATTGTCAGTTTTATGCTAGATATAAATATACATATCAACTTCTAGTTAGTTTGCAAGCAATCAAGATTCAAGATTGAATGTAAAAACACAAACCAATCCTTACCAGGGCCAGAAGGATCCAGAATATCGCACTGAATCACAGATAAAAGCCGGTATGTACCATAGTCTTCTTCAATTACATCAGCATAGAATAACTTTGGTGAACCATCATCTTCATCATCTCTCTCTCTTTTCTTAGCCTTAAAGTTGTAATGAAAGCGTTTCCGGGGCGAAATGGGGAAATCCATATGCTTGATAAGCTCAACCAGTTCATAATCATAATCAGGCCCCTTAAAATCAACCACACCAACAATAAAAAACCAAAACAAAGAGATTACATACACATCAGTGAAATTGAATGCATATTTCAAGATAAATAAAATTATGTTTGCAAAAAATATAAAATAAAGACCTTGGTATCTCTGTAATGATTCAAAACGTCTTGGCATCTGAAACGATGATGGTTCTCCGTCACCTCTAAAACTACTTTGTTGTCATTAATCGCATCCGGCTCAAACTAAGCCGGTGGAATATCGTCGTCACTGATACACAATTGGAGATTTCACATTACTATTACTATTACTATGACTATAATTGTTATGAATAATACTTAGCAAAATTTCAACTCCTAAACAAAACACAAACACAGGTGAAGCAAAATCACAACACCAAATTTAATGCAAAAATTCATGTCGTTCACTCTAAACGCTATTTTTGAAACAAAAAGCCTTAATTGATTGTCTACAATTTTTGTTTGCATTTCATCACATGAATAGTTATTCGATATATGAATATACATGAATCTACTAATATCAAATTTCATTAATTTTATTGTTAGTAGAATGTTTTAGTCAACTTAGTTATTATTATTCTCGTTTTATTTTCAATAACATAACTCTCTATTCAACGCAATACCATAGCATACAACATAATATTATATTTTAATCAAAGTTATTCAAGTACAGAACACAAAAAAGTCAATAATAAGACAATTTAAATCAATGGTATGGAAACAATAGAACAGCAGCGTTGTTGTTTAGTGTTTACTACTGTATAATATTAACAAATCAATAAATAAATTAAAAAAACAAATCCATATAAAATCATATATCAGTTGAAGATCAATTATTATAATAAAAAAACAGATTATTGTTTAATTTTGGTTTGATTTGGTAAACATATTATTACAAAGAATTTACCTTGGACCACACTTAAAAAACCACTCCTCTGAAGCGCTGAAGCCGGTTTCTTCTTCAAGATAAACTTTATCTCCAAATCTATTTATATTAAAAATAAAAAAGTTAGCAAAATTATATATAAAAATAATTAATTAATTTATAATACAAAGAAAAAATTTACCTTAGACGGTTAAACGACGATGCATGTTTAGGAGAAGCAGGCCTAATACAAAATTAAAGATTTCACCTTATTAGATAAATAAAGTTCGGGAAAACATACAAATTATTACTTGTATTTTTTTTGACAGTTTACCTTTGAAGCTTATAGGACGATGATCCATCTCCTTCTGATGAACCAGATTCAATCACCTCCGCCATTCGAATCGGATATCTGAAGGAAAGCATATGAATCAGAAAAAAAAACTCTAAATAATTATTATTTAATCCACTAACAAAAGAAAAGAGTAAAGAAGTAATTAATTTAATTAATATAAGAATCAAAATTACCTTAGGAAAGAGCGATAGATGGATAATAAGATAGAGAGGAAAATGGGTTGGTTTAGGGGAAATTGCTTTTATAGGGTTTTCTTTTTCCCTATTGCATCTCGACCCTACACGCGTCATATTAATCAAAAGGAGTAGTGGAATACGTAGCAGGTAGCACTCCGTACTGTGGATGGCAACGGGTCGAATTTGGATCGGATGACCTTCACCCGCATCCATCCGCACCCGCCATCCGCTCCATCCGCTCCACCCACCGCTCGCTTACCCCATCATCCATATCCGATCCACCCATCATCCGCGGGTGAAACGGGTGGATCGGATGCTAAACGGATGAAAGCTATTAAACTTGCAATGAAATTATAGTTTACCGAAATCATAATTTATTGTCGGAAAACAAAAGCACTACAACCTTCAATAAATGTATAATATTACAGTAGTACACCAACTAGGTGTCAAATTACTCAAATATGTCAATAACATAAAAATGAACTAATGACTAGAACACAATTACAGTAGCAAATTAGCAATGAACTTGCAATGAGCCAAAGAGGTGAGATTTGTCATCAAGTCCCTTTTTTTTCTTCAAATATCCATGAAATCGTCATCATCCTACAAGAGTACAAAAAATGTAATTAAGACCATATAATGAATATTAACACAGAATTTTTTTTAATAAGTTTTGATTATTACCGAATCCAAGTCAACGACCTCGCTACCACTAAGTCCACCACCGCCACTGCTCATATCTAAAGACTCTTCATCTTCTAAAATGGTAGCACAAGCTTGAGCATTTTCCAAAGCAAGACCTTCATCATAAGTTCATAATCGAAAATATACAATTTAGTACATACTACTTTAATGGGAGTAAAATATTATTAATAATAAAACATAAAAAAAAAACAATTAAACATCTTGTTACCTGAATACTCTCCTTGAATCCAATTTTGCAAGCACATCAAAGCCTCTACGGTGTTTGCATGAAGTCTTGAACGATGAGGACTGATTACTCTACCACCCATACTAAATGCGCTCTCAGATGCAACGGTAGATGCAGGTATGGGCTAGAATGTCTTTGGCAATTTTTTGTAATGTCGGATATTTGAGTTCAATATGCCAAAATTTCAAAATATCAAAACCCTCACTCTCCGGATAAGCATCCTCCTCTAAATAATGGTCTAACTCAGACCTCACATTTACTTTCCTTGTTTTGGTTTTCTTAGCCTTACTCCACTTATCTCCACCATCATCATCATTAGAGTTAATTGAAGAAATAGGACGTTTTCCATTCACATTATTTAGATTAGAAGTTGCCATACTCCTAGCTTCCTTCTCTTGATACTCATACAACAAGTCATACAACAAGTTTTTTACCCTATCAATTTCATCTCCAGCCTTATCATAATATATGTCATTGAAATAAAACTCTACACACTCTAATTTGTTCCTAGGGTCTAAAATGGCAGCAATGGCCAATATCCCATTAATATTAGACCAATACTTTTCAAATTTATCATTCATATTTTTAGTCATATCCCTGATAAGTTGACTATCACTTAACAACCAAGACCTCAATGCAAGTTTAATTTCACAAACTTGGCGAAAGAACAAATTAGAAGTAGAATATTTTGGCCAGAAAAAATTTCAGTCATTTTGTGAAACATTTTTAACTTTTCACAAACCTTTTCAGCAAATTCCCAATCCATTTCAGTAGGAAGTATAAACTTTAAACGAGGATTTTGACGCTTGATATTACTAAACACATCCTTATAAGGTAAAGCACTAGTCAGCATTAAAAAAGTTGAGTTCCATCTTGTTTTGCAATCTAAAACCAACTTTCTACCCTCTTCTCCTTTAAAAGATTTCACCTTATCCTCAAACATTTCAACTCGTTTTGGAGTTGCTGCCCAAAAGGAAACACAATCACGTATCCTCTTAATTCCATCACCAATTACATCTAGACCATCTTGTACAATTAGATTTAATATATGTGCACTACACCTTAAATGCAAAAATTTACCCTTCAACATAAGAGATTGTTCATTAAAACGAGGGCTCAAAACATCAAGCATAGCATCATTTGTAGTACAATTATCAACCACAATAGATGAAACTTTTTCAGCAATATTGTACATGTTCAAAGTGTCCAACCAGACTTGAGCAAGAGTGTCTTTTGTATGTGGACAAGGCACATAAGAAAACCTAAATAATCCATATAAAACACAATAAATAAGCCCCAAAACAAGCCTAAATTAACCTTATAAAACAGTAAAAACAACACCAAACTAAGCAAGATAAAAACACAAGCTAGCCATATTAATCACAATAATCAGCAATTCGGCATTAAAAAAAAACACACAAATCAACATCTTATCAAAAGTAAGAGTGAATTACCTCAATGTTTTGTTGCGCAATACCCAAAAGTCATCAATATAGTGACATGTTACAGCCATGTAACCTTTTCTTTGATTTGAAGCTGTCCACATGTCAGTAGTGATAGCTATTCTCGACCCATTGCTCTCTAATGCTTTCTTTAGACTCGCCTTTTCACTCATAAACATCTTCATTATATCAGCCCGTAATGTATTACGCGATATTATCTTGAAATGGGCATTTAAACTAGTCACAAACCTCCTAAAACCAATGTGATCCACTATAGACAACGGATACTCATGCATAATTACCATGTTAGCTAATTCCCTCCTTGAAACTTCTTGGCTGAAGTTATCATTTTCAACTCTAGCTGACCCATCAGATTTGCGGTTGACACTCAAAAGCTTTTGTCGAATATTGACCTTTGAATTCTTTCTAGTACACCTTAAATTTATGTGGTCCTTAAGGTGTGATGTTCCATTTTTGGTTATTGCCGACAAGATATGATCACAATGGAGACACTTTGCTTTTGGCATACCATTTATTGTAATCTTTTGAAAATGTTCCCAAACCATTGAAGTCTGTTTTCTTGCTTTTCTTGTGGATGTCTCACTTTCATCGGGTTGAGAAGACATGTGTACAGATTGTGAGGGATTAGTATTTGGTTGACGAGGTGGAGGTGGTGGTGGAGTAGGTGATGCAGTAGGTACAGTAGAAGGATTTGATGAGGGGCATGAAGAATCATAGTTATCATAATCATACCCACAATCAAGATCATTATTATCACCCATCATCCTATAACAAAAGTATAAAAAATAGGATTAATATCAAGTTCAAACTAGCAGCTTTAGCAAGAGTACAACATGCATAATCTCACCAACTTTTTTAATTATCTTTTATTATTTACTAAAAGAATTGGGGAATATTTTCCTTGATTATTCACAATAAGCAAGTCAGAATATATACAAGAGAATGTCGTTCATTAGGCGTGATACTAGCCTAAATACCTAAGTATAAAAAATACGTACAAAAATATCTACACGATATATATTTAACATTTACAATGCTATTCAAATTTAAAATTAGGCATAAAAGTTGAAGTTTTTAGATCTAAAGTTGAAAACATCAGAAACGTTAATACAGAAGAAGAAATAAAACAAATTTCAGAGCTACTACTTATTTGAAAATTTTGAATGCAACTATGTACAAATTAAATACATATAAAAAAAACTAACAATCTTTAATAAAAAAAATGGTTAAATCGAAACACACAAACATAGAATCGATTCTTGGATTATAGATTTATAGATGGTGTGTCAAAAGAACAAATTAAAATAGGGAAATTAAAAAAAAAAGGTATAAAATTATACCTTAATCGCTGGACGTCGTAGGTGACTAAGGTGAGATGGAGTCGCAGGTGGAGGTGGAGTCGCCGATGAGGGTTGAGTCGCCACCGGTGAGGGTTGAGTCGCCGCCAGTGAGGGTGGAGTCGTCGGTGAGGGACTGAGGGTGGAGCCTAAAGAATGAAAGGTAGAGAGAGAGAGTAGACTGTAGAGAGAGATTGAAAATGAAAGAAGGTGGCTGCTTGAAATTTAGATTAGGGTTTATTTAATTTCAGGGCATTTTTTTTTATTATAAAAATTAAACGGGTGGATGATAAACGGGTGACGGATCGGGTGACGGATGACTAAAAGTTCCACCCGAATCCGACCCGATCCGTCATCCGTTTCATCCACCACCCGCCCTTCATCCGTATAAAGTCGGGTTTTCATCCATTTAATTAGAGCGGGTGGAGCGGATTACTGGATATCCATATAAAATTGCCATCCTTACTTCGTACTTGTTCATGCTTCTTTCATTCCCAATTAAACGTAGCTAGACCGACCTATCAAACTGGACTCCCGACCCATTTTTTTTCGTTTTCAACACAATTTTTAAACACTTTAACCCGGACCCACTTAACCCGTAAATTGGCTGACTTGATTTAAAGGATTTTTTTTTGGGTAATGCTATATGCAGCCCTTAGAGCTGCATATAAGCATTTAATATCTTTCCCTTATTAGTATTAAATTGGGAATTTATCAACAATTCACGAGTAAATCGGTGTAATAATTGTATATTTATTGTCAATTCTTTCCACTTTTAGCTTCTTATAAGGGCTGCATATATCTTTTTCCTTTTTTTTTCAAAAACTAACACAAATGGGTTGTTCAAAAAATATAAAAATTTCTTATTCAATTTTATCATGTTGTTTTGTTTAATCCATTCAAAAAAAAAGTTGTTTTGTTTAATTGATGTTTAATCACGTTTATCTTAGGGCTAATAAAAAATTAAAGATTTCACCTTATTAGATAAATAAAGTTCGGGAAAACATAAAATTTATTTTTTGATAGTTTACCTTTGACGATCTCCTTCTGATGAACCAGATTCAGGCACCTCCGCCATTCGAATCGAAAATCTGAAGAAAAAAACAAGAAATTAATCTCTAATTAATTATTAATTAATCCAAGTAGAGTAAATAAGTAATTATTAATTAATTAATATAAGAATCAAAATTACCATAGGAAAGAGTGATAGTTGTTTAGGGGAAATTGCTTTTCTAGGGTTTTCTTTTGCCCTATTGCATTTTTTCGTTTTCAACACAATTTTTAAACTTGAACCCATTTTAACCCGGACCCACTTAACTCGTAAATTGGCGTGGTTGGATCAGGGTTGTCCTGTTGGCTAACTTGGCTCAAAGGACTTTTTTTTTTCCAAAAACTAACACAAACGGGTTGTTCAAATTTCAAATAATTTCTTATTAATGTTATCAATTTGTTTTGTTTAATAGATGTTTAATCACATTTACCTTTTAGATTCATACACCTTCGCCATTTGAATCGGATTATCTAAAGGAAAGCATATGAATCAGGGGGGAAATAAAAACAAGAATTTAATTTAAGTGTTATTTTATTATTCACTAACAAAAGAGTAGAATATAATAATAATCAAAATTGTTAAAGCTTACCTTGGAGATTGAAGGCCAAAGGAAAGAGCAATGGAATAGAGTGAAACTGAGCCACGTGAAAAAGACAATAAATATGCATGCTTCATTTTTTTTATAGCATGCGTGCTTAATTAATAAATATTTGTAAAATATTTTTTATAACCTTAATTAGTAATAATTGGATTTTAAAAATAAAGTTGTTTTGTGAGTATAAGAGTAATATATACATATTATTTAAATCAAGCATTTGCTCAGGCAATTATCTAGTAATTAAATATAATTGCTCCAGATGGGACGACCCGACAACTCGTATCCGAGATCCGTGAAAACCCTATTGTCCAGCTAAGTACCTACACATGAACAAAACGGGTAGGAATTACCTGCCTCGAGACGAGGTTGAGCATCTGTTGCCTTTGTTCGTTTGAGGTGACCACCACCTCACTCCATCCCGGAATTTGTAGTTCCTGGCCAACCGTTGGTGGTTGTTGTTGCCTCAAACCTTCACCCCTTATGGTTTTAGATCTATTGAGTGCCATTTTTGTAAGAATGGAGGAATTTGAAGCTTTCTCTCTCTTAGGGTTTTGAGAAATTTTGAGAGAAAGTGGTAGAAATTTAGTGGAGATTGTAGAGAAAGATGAGAGGATTAAGAATATGTAAAAATATTTGAGTTTGGATGGAAGAATTGGAGGAGATCTTGGAAAGAGAGTGAGTTTGAAGGTGTGAAAATGGAGGTTTTAGAGAGAGAAAGTTTGAATACAGAAGATGAAGGAAGGAGAAAATGAGAAAAGAAAAGGGGAGAAAGAATTAAAGGGACAACTGGTAATAGGCGCGCCCGATCGAGTGAATTTTCATAAACCCAGAACTCAAGTTGCGCGCTCGATCGGGCGAGCTCAGCCCGACCGGGCGCGAATACGAAGCAAATTTTCTCCCTTTTACTCGCCCGATCGGGCGAGCTTCGCCCGACTTTTCTTTCTCCTTCACTCGATTTCTCAAAAAATGCGCCCGATCGGGCGAAATTCCCTCGATTTCCAGCTTCAGTTGCGCGCCCGATTGGGCGAAAATATGGCCGATACAAGCTCTACTTGCGCGCCCGATCGGGCGAACCTCGCCCGATCGGGCCCGTGCCCAGCTCGGAACATTCTCTTTTTTTCTAACTTTTTCTCTTTAAGTCTCCATACTTGTTGATTCAATACCTGTACAAAACACTTGTAAAAGATAAAATTGCACTTTCCGCGCCTCTTTAAAAATTAAAATAAAATAGAAGGAAAACTAGTCTAAAAAGCAAGAAATACGGGTTGCCTCCCGCAAAGCGCTGGTTTATCTAGGTCTCACACGACCTTCTTACTACCTTGTAGCTCAGGATGGAAGCGGAGTTAGGAGGGTTTCCTCTACATCTCTAACGGTAGCGCCCTCATGATACACCTTCAATCGTTGGCCATTTACCTTGAACTCTTCACCTTTATCATTGACCAGCTCCACCAAACCAAACTTGTTCACCTTAGTGACAGTGAAGGGACCGGACCACCTAAACTTTAACTTTCCTGAAAAAATCTTTAATCTAGAGTTAAAGAGTAGAACCTTGTCGCCCGGTGCAAACTCTTTTGGTAGGATCCTTTTGTCGTGCTACTTCTTGGTCTTTTCCTTGTAGATTCGTGCACTATCATATGCCGACAATCTAAACTCATCTAAATCATTGAGTTGGAGAAGTATTTTCTTACCCGCGACCCTAGAATCCATGTTAAGCTCCTTGATTGCCCAAAAAGCTTTGTATTCCAATTCCACGGGAAGATGACATGCCTTACCATATACTAGTCTATAAGGAGAAGTACCAATTGGTGTCTTAAATGCGGTTCGGCATGCCCAAAGTGTGTCATCTAGCTTCATACTCCAATCTTTCCTTGACTTGGCCACTACCTTCTCTAGAATCGCCTTGATTTCCCTATTAAAGACCTCAACTTGACCACTAGTTTGAGGGTGGTAACTAAGTTCGGTTCTATGATACACTCCATACTTATTTAGGAGGTTGTCCAATTTTCTTTCATGGAAGTGAGTACCTCCATCACTAATTATAGCACGTGGAACACCAAACCTTGGAAATATGATCTTCTTGAAGAGCTTGATGACTACCTTGGCATCATTTGTTGGTTAAGCTATGGCCTCGACCCACTTGGACACATAATTGACGGCTACAAGTATGTAACAATTCCCATTGGAAGATGGGAATGGACCCATATAATTAATACCCCAAACATCAAATATTTCAACTTCAAGAATCCCAGTTTGGGGCATCTCATGTCTCCGCGAGATGTTGCCAGTCCTCTGGCAAGAGTCACAAGTCTGCACAAAAGTGTTAGCGTCCTTAAACATTGTGGGCCAATAAAAACCCGACTCATTAATCTTGGCCACCGTTTTGGTGGAGCCATGATGTCCTCCATAAGGTGAAGTGTGACAACTAAGAAAAAACGCCATGAACTTCCCATTCGGGAACACACCTGCGAAATAATCCATTTGCACACTCACTAAACAAAAAAGGATCATCCCAAAAATAATTTTTTACACCAAAAAGGAATTTCTTTTTCTGTTGGTAGGACAAGTCAGAAGGTAGAGTACCACCCACTAAATAATTGGCAAAATCAGCATACCAAGGGTTTTTCTCTACAACTGCATACAGGTTGTCATCAGGGAAAGAATCATCAATAGGGAGAGAATCCTTACCCTCATCATACCTGATCCGCGACAAGTGGTCTGCCACTACGTTCTCTGCATCCTTTTTGTCCTTTATCTCAACATTGAAATCCTGGAGCAAAAGAACCCAACGGAGTAGCCTAGGATTTGATTCCGCCTTGGCTATCAAGTACTTCAGAGCTGCATGGTCAGTAAAAACAATAACTTAAGAACTAACAAGATATGATTTAAATTTTTCTAAAGCATAAATCATAGCAAGAAACTCCTTCTCCGTGGTGGCTTAATTGACTTGGGCCTCATCCAAAGTTTTAATTGCATAATAAATAGCATGCAAAACTTTGTTCTTTCTTTGTCCGAGCACGACTCCTAGTGCAAAGTCACTTGCATCACACATAATCTCGAAAGGAAGATTCTAATCGGGTGCACATATGATGGGTGCCGATATCAAAGCCTGCTTTATCTTGTTGAAAGCCTCAAGACACTCGTCAGTAAAAATAAAAGGGGAATCCTTGAGTAAAAGCTGAGTTAGTGGTTTAGCAATTTTTGAAAAATCTTTGATAAAGCGACGATAAAACCCCGCATGACCTAAGAAACTTCTAACTCCCTTAACATTAACTGGGGGAGGTAATTGCTCAATCACAGAAATCTTAGCCTTATCTACTTGTATACCCTTATCAGATACAATGTGACCCAGAACTACTCCCTCTGTCACCATAAAGTGACATTTCTCCCAATTTAGAACCAAATTGTATTCTTCACATCGTTTCAAAATTTTAGCAAGATTTACTAGACATGCATCAAAAGAAGAACCATACACGCTAAAATCATCCATAAAGACTTCCATAATAGACTCTATGAAATCAGAAAAAATGCTCATCATGCAACGTTGAAAAGTAGCGGGGGAATTACATAAACCAAAGGGCATTCTACGATATGCAAAAGTACCATAAGGACATGTAAATGTAGTCTTTTCCTGATTTTCAGGGTGAATTGGAATTTGAAAAAATCCCAAATACCATCCAAATAACAAAAGAACTTATGATTAGCTAACCTTTCAAGCATTTGATCAATAAAGGGAAGGGGGAAGTGGTCTTTTTTAGTGGCGATATTTAATCTACGATAATCAATGCATATACGCCACCCTGTAATAGTTTTAGTGGGAATCTATTCATTTTTATCATTTTTAATCACAGTCATCCCACCCTCTTTAGGAACCACCTGTACAGGACTTACCCATTTAGAGTCAGAAATAAGATAAATAATATCTACATCAAGTAATTTCATAACCACTTTCTTAACTACTTCCTACATGTTAGGGTTCAACCTCCTCTGGGGTTGAATACAAGGCTTGTGATTGTCCTCTAGGTGTATCCTGTGCATACAAAAATCAGGGCTAATACCCTTGAGATCATCAATACTGTACCCTGTTGCCCTTTTGTGGGTTCGAAGAACCTCTAGAAGTTGGGAAGTTTGAGGGTCATCGAGTGCAGTACTAATGATCACAGGGTATTGTAGGGAATATTTCAAGCATCATAACCCCAATCTTGAACCCCACTGTGATCATACACTTAAGTATGGTGGCGTCCAAAGGGAAAGAAAAGAGAGCAAAAGTGTCGCCAACAAGTTTTAGGAACTTGTAAACCGTTCACAAGGTGAAGGTTACACCCCTTAACGATCCATGAGATCGTCAACTCCAAAAGGTCTTGAACCAAATAGGGTTCAGGGATGAGGGTACGAATCCAATCTACAAAAGAGAGGACTCGCTCTATAAAATAGACCTCTACTTTATTCTACTCGTATTCATGTGCGCTTTTTGACTAACATGCAAACATTAGATTAATCCTAACCCTGTTTAATCTATGTTGGTTGAATATTAATGCACAAATAAATCTATTATTGGCGATCACTTGAACTAAAATCATATTAGCCTAAACAAAATTATTAATTATCTTACTAAGCGTGATTTCAAGTACAAATTCCCTTTAACATGCATAAAAGGCGTGATCAAGCAATAATAATAATAAATATCAAGCAACAGAATAATAATAACCATAATAATCATAACAATAATAATAATCATGATAATATTAATAATAAAGCTTAATAATAATAGCAAGATCCTAGGCATGATACTAACAAGATTAATAACAAATCCTAGCATGTCACTAAGCATTAAAGATCAAAGCTTTAAACCTAACAAGGTACTAACATGATATAGGAAAGAGTAAAGGCACCCTAAACATGATTCTAGAAAGCAATAAAAACATCCTACATTGAAATTAAAAGGGAGTAAGCTAATTACTTATTTTGAAGCCTCGTACCTCTTTCTAATAACAAAATACACGCGTTAGTAAACTTCAATGAAAATAATAAATCAAAGAATTAAATTAAATTAATTGAAAGAAAGAGTTATAAAGTTTAGGCTGGATTTGGGACCAAACCCTCAGAAAAGTATAAACCTTTCACGTCTAGGGCGAAGGCAACTTCGAACTTGGCTAGGTGTTTCTAAGTCTTGTGAGTGCGGTATTGTGTTTGTAAAAATCTAGTTTAGAAAAAGAGAGAAAGAAAGCATGAATTGCTCGAGAGAGATATAGAGAGAATTGGGTGATTGTGAATGAGTAAAAACGGAGGTTCAGGACCCTATTTATAATAAAAATAGTCCGGAAAAGCATAGAATTTGATAAGGAATAAGACTACAAGCTTTCGCCGCAAAACCACTCTGTCGCTTGGCGACAGGCCTATCTTTTGGCGAAAGCCTGGTTTTCACGCACTTTCTACGCGGAATCCAATCTTTAACCAAATTTGATCTATGGAATCCGTACAGAAGCTAAAATCGTATTTTAATAAAATAATATTATTTTATTCCAAATAAAACTCATCATAATATAATTATTAATTCTAACTCTATTTGGATTGAAAAGAACCTTCTAGAGAATTCTAGAAGACTATAATTAATCCTAGTACTTTTAGGAATAATAATTAACATTGGGCCCTCCTCTAGATCATTGGGCCGCATGTAAACCGGGCCCAGTTTAGTATTTTTGCCATAACTTCCTCATTATTATTCATCGGAATTGGGCTTATAATATATCATTGGAAAGCTCTTTGAAAGCCCCATCCAACTACACTATTATTGGACCCTTGTGAAAGACCAAACTAAACTGGATCGGCTATTTTTATAAAATAAAGTTGTTTTAAAAAACAAAGAGAAATTTTTTTAATAAAACTAAACCGCAACACTTAACCTTTCACACTTTCACTTCATTCGATTATGATTCGACGCGAAAGGTATTCATCACTGGGTTTGTTTTTGGGGAGACACAAATGGGTGTCTACAGAAGCCCCCACTTTGACTGAGTTTGGAGAAATGCATGTTTCAAAAACAAAAGTCAAAGTAGCGATAGGGACGGAGAATGATTCATAACGTTCAATAGCTGGTTCCTACAAGCGCCTGTACGGTGCAACGTACAGTCGTTTTGTAGGAAAGAACATGATATATAAAAGTAATGAACATATAGTTATAGTGAAAAGAACATACTATTAAAATGTAATGAGCATATAACTAAAGTAAAAATAACATACTATTAAAATGTAATGAACATATACCTAGAGTGAAAAGAACATATTTGCACCAAAAAAATACATAAAAAGAACATATGTTTATGTTCATTGATCAGTCAGTATAATGTACTTTATTTGCAACATAAAGATCATTGCTTAATGTGAAATGTTTATTAAATTTTGTCTTCAAATTAGGGTGGTTATATATAGATAAAATTTATTACATAATATTATCATGTTCTTTATTAATATTGCAGATGTTCTTTAGATATGAAAAAATATATAAAATTGAATGTTCGTTACAAAACAACTATATGTTCTTTACAAAATAACTGTATGCTCTTTACAAAATAGTTACATGTTCTTTTTGCTTTTTTTGGCTGTACCAAGCAAGGTACAGCCGCCTGCACCTAAAAATTTTCACATAACGTTTGGCGATCCTAAATCATTCTTGTAACGCCGGTACCTGCAAACTAGCGTTAAACAGATAAAAGAGTTAAGAAACGCGTATCTTGCATCGCCGAGCACACGTCTCTGAATTAACCAATTTTGCTGCATTTTTGTTTTGACGACCTTCCACAAGCTAGAGAATGCCATCCCGCCTGAAGACTGCTACGCTTGTAACTGCCTCCAATTTCCGCTGTGATAATCATCCGCAAGCCAGGGAACACTATCGAAGATTGCTTCACTTGAAACGATCCTCTTCCGCTTTGTGACCATCTTCCACATCTTAGGGAATACGATCGAAGATAACTCTGCTTGAAATCACCTTCAGTTGTCGTGATAATATTCCGAAGAAAGTTATCGAAGACCAACGCTTGTCGATCTTTTAAAGTTCGCTTGAACTTTGCTTTCGCTATGCCAGTACGTCAGCCTGCTTGTGAACCATTATGTTGGTGCTTTTGCTGTTTATGAACCATTATGTCGGTGCCTTTGTAATGAGCCAATGTTTAGGCGCTTTAAGTGAAGTGAGACGATCTTTCATCAGGTCGATCACTCGATTTAATCGTAATCGAGCTGATTACTAAATCATGTCAAATTTCTTAGAGGGGCTAACTGGCGTACCAAGGAACCCAAACTGCTGCACGAAGTCCACATAACCATGTTATGGAGCCATGTACTCTGTCGCCGCGTTTAGGGCTTTTCGCCAAGCGACAGACCTTGTCGCCGCGCGATATACCTGTCGTTTGGCGACAGGGTCGGGTATTTTAAATATCCGCCCTTTCTTCTTCATTTCGCTGTTGCTCTGCTTTTTCGCATTGTCTCAAAAATTTCGATCTCTCTTGCTCATTTCTTAGCCGAATTCGCTCAAACTTGTTGCAAATCGAAGCTCATCACATCTATTTTCCCGATCTATGTAAGTTTTGCGCAAATTCACTCCGGTTTTTGATGAATTGTGTGTTCTTGTTCACGAATTTTTGAAAAATTCGAAACTTACTTTGCTTAATTTGCTTTGTTTGTTGAATTTCATGCCATGAATTTGCTTGAGTATGTTTTTATATTGCTTTGGGAGTATTTTGAGACTTGTTTGACTCAATTTGGTGAAGAAACGAACGATTCACCATTGTTGGACCTCTCGAGGTCGTGAAGAACAATGTGACCCGTTCTTTGCATTTTTGCTAGCTTTTCTTGTACAATTCGTCACAATATTTGCCATAGTATTGCAAGAAATTGCTTGGTTGCTTGAAAATGCTAATTATGCTTAGGTTTGAATTTGTGCTTTGTTTTAGTACTACGTACTTGTAGGGAATAATTTCAAGCCTTTAAAATCCCACTAGCTTGAACCCCACTGTGATCATACACTAAAGTACGGTGGCGTCCAAAAGGGAAGAAGATAGAGCAAAAGAGTCGCCAACAAGTTTTTAGGAACTTGTAAACCGTTCACGAGGTGAAGGTTACACCCCTTAACGATCCAAGAGATCGTCAACTCCATAAGGTCATGAACCAAATAAGGGTTCGGGGATGAAGGTACAAATCCAACCTAAAAGAGATTGAACCTGCCCTAATAATAGACCTCTACTTTATTCATATCGTATTCATGTGCGCTTTCTGACTAACATGCAATCAATAGGATTAACCCTAAACCTGTTTAATCTATGTTAGTTGAATATTAATGCACAAACAAACTATTATTTGCAATCACTTGAATTATAATCAAATTAAACCTAACAAGATTATTAATATCTTATTAAGCGTGATTGCAAGTACCAATTCCCTTTAACATGCAATAAAAGGTGTGATCAAGCAATAACAAATAAATATATCAAGCAACATAATAATAATCAATAATCATGAATAATAATTATAATAAATAATATCATCAAAATAAAATATTCATCATCAAAATAAAATAATCATCATAACAATAATAATCATAAATAAAATAATCATTATCAAAATAATAATAATAATAATAATAATAATAATAATAATATTCATAATCATCATAAATTATAACAATTATAATCATAATCATGTTCATGTTAATATTAAAGCATAATAAAAATAGCAAGATCCTAGGCATGCTACTAACAAGATTAATATCAAACTCTAGCATGTCACTAAGCATTAAAAATCAAACCTTTAACCCTAACATGATACTAGCAATCATAAATATTAGGAAGAACATAGGAAGCATCATAACAATCATATTTAATATTAAAATTACCCTAGACATGATACTAGGAATATCTTAAGAACAATGTAAATATGATTTCTACATCATAACATCAATAAACCAATTAAAGTACTTACTTTGATGCTTCGTACCTCTTTCTAATAACAAAATACACGCGTTAGTAACTTCAAGGAAAATAATAATGAAACAATTAAATTAAATGATTGAAAGAGAGATTTGGGACCAAACCCTCAGAAATTACTCCCTCCGTCCCGGTTTAGTTGCAACGGTTTGACTGACGTTGGATTTTATGCAAAGTAATTGACTTGTTTATTATAATGTATGTAAGTTGGTAGTGGGCATTTTTTTATTATAGCTAGTGGAAGTGGGCCATAGCATTTTTCTGTGGGGGGGGGGGGGGGTGGGGTGTGCTGTTGGAGTGTTGGATACACGTGCCATAACATGTGAATCCAAAAAATTTGATTCCTTTTTTAATTTTTGCCGGCAAACACCATCACCAGAATTCACTTTATAATTTTTCCCTCTTGATTTTTTTGGTGAAATTTCAAATATTTTTGTACACATCCCCTTTTTGAATTTGGAGCTTCCAAATTATGGCCTTTATATATTGAACCATAATAAATGCTTCTTCTTTATTTCAGCTTCACCTGTAGATTACCAAAAAAAAAAAAAAACACAGCAAATAGAGAGTAAAGAACAAACAGAGAAAAAATATGGGGGCGGGGGGGGGGGGGGGGGTTTGGGGTAGAATTAGAAAAAATGTCGTAAGTTTTTTCTTCTTCAGTTTTCACTTAGATGCAACTAGTGTAGAGTAATCATGTGCATTTTTAGAGAGAAAAGAGAGCTTACAAATGATGCAAGAACCAGAATTGCTAATTGGTTACTAGTAAAAAATTCCACTGGAAAGTTGAAAAGGGGTACCGTGAAAGAAGCATCAGAGCTTTTTGGAGTGCATCGAACCACAATCTAAAGAATTTTTAAGCAAGCAAAAGCTCTATGGCAAAACGGTGATGCAGTCAACATGGACTCTGAAACCCAAAAGGGTTGGCAAGAAAGGTAAACACATTGACTTAAGTAAAATTTCTAAAATTCCATTTCACAAAAGGGGCAACATTAGGGCACTTTCAATAGCATTAGGTGTTTCTAAGAGCACCATTCATAGGTTGATCAAAAGTGGTCAAATCAAGCCACACACAAATGCATTGAAATCAGCACTTACAGAAAATAATATCATGGAAAGACTAAAATGGTGCCTCAAAGCCATTGATCAAGACAATGGTATGTTCAACGATATGTACACCACAATCCATTTAGACGAGAAATGGTTCTACATGACAAAAGGGACACAACGTTATTACCTACTCCCAGGTGAAACACAACCTTATAGAACGTGTAAGAGCAAAAGATTTGTCACAAAAGTCATGTTCCTATGTGCCGTTGCTAGGCCACGATTTAATGTAGAAGGAGAATGCATTTTTGATGGGAAAATAGGAATGTTTCCGTTTGTCAGGTGGGTGCCAGCAAAAAGAAGAAGCATAAATAGGCCAGCAGGTACATTAGAGCTCAAACCAGTTACCTTAGTCACAAAAGAAGCTTATAGGAACATGTTAATCAGACAAGTGATCCCAGCAATCATGCAAAAGTGGCCAGATAACGATCAAGGTCCAATCTATTTGCAACAAGACAATGCAAGACCTCACATAGAAGTACAAGACAGAGACTTCATGGAAGCTGTGCAAAATTCCAACAAAGACTTAAGGTTAGTATTCCAACCTCCGAACAGCCCAGATATGAATGTGTTAGACCTTGGATTTTTTAGGGCGATACAATCCCTCAAGGATCAAACAGCCCCAAAAAACACCAAGGAGCTGGTCAAGAATGTTAAAAATGCATTTAGGGAGTATTGTCCAACTAAAGGGAATAGAGTGTTCCTTAGTCTCCAATTGGTGTTAATTCAAGTGATGAGAGTAAAGGGGAGCAATAATTACTTGTAAAAACATGTTGGAAAAGAAGCTTTAGAGAGATAGGGACTACTTCCTATTGTTTTCTCTCCATCTCCAAGTCTTGTAGAAGAATGTTTGGCATACGTTGAAGCAATGCAGCAGACAATTTGAAGTGATGAACTTGCAACTTTTGGAAGCTAAAAAGTCAAATGATTAATTTTGTAAAGTTTTTGAAAGCATAATTGTAAACAATCAAAACTAGCAGTAGATTAGTGGAGAGATATTATATGAACCTCCCTAATACTTTTGTAAATTTTTTGTAAGCATCAATTATTAATGGGAAGATCAAGTACTAACATAAATTAGCTTGTCAATCAATTTACAGAGTACCTAATTCATTTACTACTACACCACCAAGTAAACAACACAATAACACTACGGAGTACATCTTCTAAGAGTACTCATTTTTTTGCCTAACAATTACTCCGTACAACATCACAAGCACTAGATTATACTCCGTACTTAATGGGAACATCACAACATGCATAGCTTACCAACATCACAAGCAGTAGATTAATACTCCGTACTTGATGGGAAAATCAAATAAGAATAACTAACACAATAATCCACCACTATTCACTTCCAGAACTATCACCCATCATATGTCGTTCAATAATTGGGACATAACCCTTCAACATCTGAAAAATGTCTTCTTTTGATACATTACCTTTTCTTTTTCTAGATTTCAACTTACCTTTCGACGTCCGCTGCTACATCGAATTAGCTTTGGAGCTACACACACAGGAGTGGTAGCCACTTCACGTTCTGGAGTGTCGGGAACAACCCACTCTCCGTGCTCTACCAAAAAAAAACGCACTTGGAAGAAAACCGTTCAGTGGAGTAGTCACTTCACGCTCTCGAGTGTGGAGAACGTCTGGCGGAGTTTCAGGAACTATTGAAAATGGTTCTTCAGAATCATCGACCCAAATCCCAATTACATCAGAATTGGGGTAGTTGAATGAGTCTTGATCTTTGTTTTTAGCTAAATCAGGATTAATTTGATGTTTTTCAGTATCATCCATGAGATTTTTTCTCAAATCTACAGTAATTTGTTTCATGATTTGGGGAAGAAGATGAATGGAAAGAACCTTGAAAATGGGTTAAAATAATTTGGAGTGAGAAAGTGAAATAATTTGGAGTGAGAAAGTGGCGTGTGAAATTAGATCAGGGGGTATGGGTAGGGGGGTGGGGGGTGTAAATTTTTTATCATTTTTTTTACAAAAGTGAAATAATAGTGGGCCATTGATATTTGAGATAAATATTAAAAAAATAGTGGGACCATGCCTTTTATAGAAATGTTGCAAGTAATTTGGGACGACCTTATAAGGAAAGTGATGCAAGTAATTTAGGACGGAGGGAGTAAAACCTTTCACGTCTAGGGCGAAGGCAACTTCGAATATGGCTAGGTGTATTTAAGTCTTGCGAATGCGGAATTTTGTATGAGAAAACCAAGTTTAGGAGGAGATGAATGAGAGAATTAAAAGAATGCTAATGAATGTTGATGAATGATGAGAATTGATGAATCTTGATGAAAATTGGTGAATGAAAACGGAGTTTTTAATACGATATTTATAGAGAAAATTAGCCAAAAAAGATAAATTAACAAAAAAGAGTCCGACGCTCAGGAAACAGAGCTGGCGCCAACCCTGGCTAGCTAGCGCCAGGCACCAGCACTAGTGCCAGGCGCCAATGGCTAGCGCCAGGCGCCAGGCCTGGTTTCAGGCGCCAAGGCCTGGGGTTGGACGCTAAGCTTTATTTTAACGCGTTTTCGAAAATCCGATAAGTTTACCGTACTGGAGGATAAAATAATATAATTTCTTCGAAAATGCTATTTGATTTTGATTAAAACTCTGAAAAGTCAACAAAGTCAACTTATCAATGCTAATTGAATTAGGAATGAAAAGAACCTTCTAGAAGAATCTAGAAGACTAAAACTATTCCTAATTGCATTAGGAATGATAAATCATATTAGGCCCTCCCCTAGATCATTGGGCCGTATATAAAGCTCATACCGGGCCCAGTTTAGTAAATTGGCCATAACTTCCTAAATATTCATCGGAATTGGGCTTATAATATATTGTTGGAAAGGACTTTGCCAAGCCTTATCCAACTACACCTCTATTGGACCCATATCATGGACCAACCAAAGTGGATTGGCTGTTTTCTTAAAATAAAGTTTTCAAAAACAGAGAGAAGAGAAAGGAAAAATAAAAACTTTCCGCAACACTAGACTTTCCACACTTTCATTTCATTCGATTATGATTCGACGTGAAAGGTACTCATCACTGGGTTTGGTTTTGGGGAGACACAAATGGGTGTCTACAGAAGCCCCCACTTTGACTGAGTTTGGAGAAACGCAAGTTTCGAAAACAAAAGTCAAAGTATCGATATGGACGGAGAATGATTCAGAACGTTTTTGCGATCCTAAATCACTCTTGTAACGCCGATACCTGTAAAACTAGCATTAGTTAAACAGATAAAAGAGTTAAGAAACGCGTATCTTGCACTGTCGAGCACACGTCTCTGAAAGTAACCGATTGTTTTGATGACCTCATACAAGCTAGAGAATGCCATCCCGCTTGAAAACCGCTACGCCTGTAACTGCTTCCAAATTTGGAAGATTGCTTCGCCTGAAATGATCCTCCTCCGCATTGATAATATTCCACATTCTAGGGAATACCATCGAAGATTATTTCTCTTGAAACAATCTCTATCCGCATTGATAATATTCCACATCCTAGGGAATACTACCGAAGATTGTTTCGCTTGAAATAATCCTCATCCGCATTGATAATATTCTACATCCTAGGGAATACTATCGAAGATAACTTCGCCCGAAATTACCTCCAATTGTTCGCGACAACTCTCCGCAAGCTAGGGAATGTTGTCGAAGATATCTTCTCTTGAAGTCATCCTCATTTGATGCGATAATTTTCCAAAGGAAATTACCGAAGATCCACGCCTGTCGATCTTTAAAAGTTCGCCTAAACTTTGCTTCCGCTATGCCTGTACGTCGGCGCTCTTTTGTTTTGAACCTGTATGTCGGTGCCCTTTTGCTTTTGAACCTATATGTCGGTGCCTTTTTCTAATGAGCCAATGCTTAGGGGCTTTAAGCTAAGTGAGACGATCTCTTATCAGGTCGATCACTTTATGTAATCAAACCGATTACTAAATCATGTCAAATTGCTTAGAGGGGCTAACTGGCGTACCAAGGAACCCAAAAATATGTTGCAGAAGTCTAGCACAACCTCATCAGGTGGCTGGATGCTATGGCGTCGCTGAAAAACCATCAGCGCCAGCTATTTGGTGTTAGCGCCAGACGCTGATGTTGGTGCCAGGCGCCAAGCCTAATTTGTGACGCCAATGCATAGGGACTGGCGCCAGCACGAGATCTCCCTTAAATACCCCTTTCCTCTTCATTTTGCTGCTCCGTTCGTCGCGAAACTGCTCGAGGAAACCGAAAGCTTCAATTGCTCATTGCTTGCTCGTTTCTCAATCGAATTCGCTCAAATTTGTTGAAAATCAAAGCTCTTCTCATCTATTTTCCTGATCTATGTAAGTTTTCTTCAAACTCACATCAGTTTTTATGAATTCTTGGCATGTTTATTCACGAATTTCATGAAAATTCAAAATTTATAATGCTCAATTTGCTTTGTTTGTCAAGTTTTATGCCATTAATTTGCTTGATTATGTTTGTATATTGCCTTGGGAGTAATTTGAGACTTGTTTGACTCAATTTGGTGAAGTAATGAGCAATTTGCCATTGTTGGACCTCTTAAGGTCGTGAAGAACAATGTGACTCGTTCTTGATGTTTTTGCTAGCAATTCTTGTCCAATTTGTCACAATAATCATTATAGTATTGCAAGAAATTGTTTGATTGCTTGAAAAAATGTTGTCATGCTCAATTTGAATTTGTGCTCTGTTTTAGTACTACGTACTCTGTTTTTTGCGAACATAGTATCATGCGGATAGGCGAACCTTAGATACTATAGAACCTTAATTCATGATAATTCTGCACAATGTAGCATGGCTAGACAGGGAGGCTAGGGTTCACGGTCCCGAAACACTAGACGGGAGCATGAGCCCGTAGAGGACGATGCCACGCCGTCCACTTCACTCGGTCGGCTTCCGGAGTGGGACGAGCGGACTCTGTTCTTCGCCCCTTTCCACCACATTTCCGAGAGGGTGAGACAGGGTACCGAGCCCGGGAGGACACGGCATCACGGCTCTGGCAGTGACGGTTTAGGCGATTTATACAGGATGCACATCGCCAGGGATCCCGAGACGAGGCTCTTATGGGAGTCTTGCGGGCTAGCTACTCTATTTGAGACCTCCGAGGCTATGGTCGACTCCAGCGGGGGTCATCACGTAATGCGTGCTTTGGTGGAGTTCTTCTGGGACACTACCAACACCTTTCATTTCCTTTGGGGCGAGATGATGGTCACCCCTACGGACTTTAGTCTCATCACAAGACTGGAGTTCACTTGTGTGCCACTGCCGTTTGACGGTGGGATTGACGTCTTCTCTCCAGAGGTCGAAGAGTTGTTGGGGCCGATCGCTATTCGGGCCCAAGCTGAGGTTGAGGCGATTCAGTTCAGTGCTAGGGGAATTCGCCGCTCAGCGCTGGCAGCGGCTCTTGACGACGATGTGACCACCCGAGAGCAGCGGGTGCGCATCTTTGTGCTGATGTTGTTGTAGGGACATTCTCTTCTGACAAGGGTAGTACGGCATTGCTTTACTACCTTCCTGCTGTCCGTGATCTCCAGCGGATCGGGACTTATGACTGGGCCAACTTGGCCTATGCTGACTTCGTTCGTGCGCTGGGGGACTCGTGTCGTCACCGGTCCTTTAGGACGAACGTCGCTTTGTCTGATTTTTGGAAGGTCGTAGAGGTAAACAATATGCCCTATAAAGTTTAGCCCTATATATTAGTTAGCATTTACTCAAACTTTTAACTCCTTGTAGATCTGGTTTTACGAGTACTTTCCTT